CCCCCCCCCCCCCCCCAAGCTTGAAGCTTCAAGGGGAGATCTCAGTGGGATCGGAGGCCACCCGCAGTTCGAGGCCTATGCGGACTACTTGGAGGAGGCACTCCTTGGTTTAGGAGTTTTTGCAGCTTCGGGTTTCGAGTGCAGCAGCTCTGAGAACTAGGCAGGCATGTACAAGTCTGTGCAAAGAAAGTGTTTATAGGGACTTATAGTGGCTTGTGGTTCAGGGTTTGTTTGGGCTTTCTCCAAGATCCGCTGAGCTTGGGTGTCGCGTTTATGCTGGCGTCGCACTCCGTACCTGAGTTTAACGAGCGTGTCCATGCAGGTAGGTCGCGAGATGTTAACATCGTAAGGTTTTCTCGACAGTTGGTTCAGCAATGAAAATCTGAATGATGAGGACGATTCGTTGACTCTTTGAGTTGGATGTGGCAGAGCTCCCGAGCTACAAGCAAGCATCAGCCAGCAAAGTGGCAGGCAGTCAGCGACGACTTGACGGACACCTTTGCAGAGATGACGAAGATGTTTGGGAAAAAGGTTTGGAAAGAGCAGGCAGGACGGTGAACATCCGGTCGCATTTGTTTACTGTGGTTCGTAGATTCAGTTGCGGACGCGCGACCCCGCCGAACAACTATGGTCTGAGCAGTCGGTCTACCTTGTGGCTGCCCCACAGCCGAGAAACAGAGGCATCGCCGTTGATAATAGGACAGATGGTGCTGCATACAAAGAAACCGACGTCCAAACCTTCGGCCACAACAGATATGTACCATTCGGGTTCGTTAGGTCCGTTAGGTGTCCTTACAACGAGGACCCTACTGTTCGGGATATATATATATATACATACATACATACATACATACTTACAGACAAGTACTGGAAAAACCGGAAGTCTCAGAGTCAAACGATCGGTGAGATACCGCAAACCCCGACAAGCTTGGTTAAAGGTTCATGATGAGTTGTTGACTGGGGCTGCAGTCACTTTCATTAGGGATACCTTTTGTTCGCCGGTACTCATAAATCCATGATTACCCATGATCCTTTACGCGGAGGTGGCGTGGCAGCGCACCTACTCCTTGGGACAGCGGGTAACGGAGCGGATCAAGAAGCGCAATGCGCAGGTGCTGGAACAATTGTTGGGGGTTAGCCCGGTAGCCGAGATGAATTGTAGAAGCGTTGCGACGCCAAAGCTGGCAAGATCTGGCATGCACAGCCACCAGAAATTGTATGGTTGAGAGTTTAGAGTTCTTGTTCGGAAGGCCCACTTTGTCGGTGCGCCGTTTGTGTCAGGTGCCGGCCAGCTTTGCCTTTGCATCGTTTCGAAATGGCCCTTCCGGTAGCAGCAACTCTACCACTGTAGAGGAGCATTACAAGAACCGCAGCAACAGCAGCAGCAGCAGCAGCAGCGTATTTTCGGTAGTTACAGGGGCTTTCGTCCTGCTGTTCTTTTGATTGTTGCTGGTCTGTTGTGGGGGACCCCTGGCCTTGCCCTTGGCTCAGAGGCTGCTTGTGTAGACATCCGGCCATGCTGGAAGGCACGCTACCTGGTAGCGTGGGCTGCGCTAGCCCGAAGGCGCCCAAGGCGCAAGAGAACGGGCATGCAGATGCACTTCTTGAAGATTCCGCCAGCACGTGCTCTTCTCCTGTGAGCTCTCCCTTGACTGACATCAGCTCAGCAAGTTCGGGAAGCCAGAACCAGGAACGGTCCCGGTCACGCACAAGCCAGTCATCAAAGCGACAGGGAATGCGGCAGCACCGGCAGCAGAAGCTGCAGAGGTTCTTGTCGGAGCATCACTTCGTGGACGTGTCAGAGCCTAGGCTCTCTACTCGTTGCTGCCTTTTCCATGATGCTGTCTATTCCATTCATATCGCTGCGCAGATTGGGGATGCTGACATTGTTCACATGCTGCTTGCTGCAGGGGCAGACCCAAATCAGAGGACCTCGCGAGGGGTTCTTGCAGTAGATCTCGCCTCAGAGAAAGACCAGGATGGGTCACATTGTGAAGTCATAGAACTGTTACGCGGCCAGCTGAAAGTACTGGGTCTTCGAGAGGCAGTTTTATTAATGAGAGGCCAGTCGCAGCTCGGAAGCAATGAGTGCAATGAGCACAACAGCAGCGAAAGGTCCTTTAGGATTGCGAGCTGCTGCCGAAGCTTGAGATGGTTCTCGTAGTATGTAGGTTTGCAGCGGCTGTGCCCTTCTTCTCGTAGTATGTAGGTGTGTAGCATCGGATTGCTGGAATAGCCATGTGCCTTGCTTAATCTTTCTGCGACTGAGACATTGTCGCACGCATCTGCAGGCATGTAGGAAGCCTAGCTAGCTTTCCTGCGCTACCAATATCTAGATACTACTACTTGTAGTGAATGCATGTAACGTCGCAATTGCGGCGAGTATGGCTAAGATGCGACATTGCGACAATGATCGAGGCGCTATCTGAGAACCACTCGCTTCATGGGAGATTATGATATCTCGGGCAGGAATCGTTGAATCGATCACAAGCAGACTGTTGTGTGTGGTGCTCCTTTTTTGCCACGTTTTGCCACGGTTGTTCCTCTGCATGTCGGCTCTAAGCCACGTGCTCGTCTGTGCTCTGCAGTGCGGGAACAAAAAGCGATGGAGGGGCCAGTATCTGAGGTTGAATATTGCGCTTATGATGTCTTCATGTGTTCGCAGCAGGCTTCTTTTGTTCCATCCTACATGTTTGTTGTGGCTGGCATGATTGCTATTCTTGCTACGCAATGTACACGTGTTTCAAAAGGATGTCCACGACGGTTCATGCGAGGGACTGAGGGCAGGACCTAGTGATAGCCAGCAGAAGGCCCAATTTTTCACAATCACTGCTTTGCCGGGTTGAGATAATGGCCACACCTGGAATATGCAATAGTGTATCAATCATGAGCTTAACAATGAAACCTGCACACAATGCCGACAGTTGTCATCATGTCGTAAGCGGCTTGTTGTTGATTAACGCTACCTTCAGCTCCAAGACGAAGTCAGCATGCACCTCATCCAAAAGCCTGAGGAATCAGAAGCTCGACATGAGTCCCTCCAGCTGTTTCACAAGCATTCCTGCTGACATTGCTCCCTCGGCGTCATCCAAGACTCGAAAACTACCGGAAGCCATTGGCATGCACATCACTTCAAAGTTGCCTGGGCCAGGAGATTGAGCAGGATCTTGATGAGGCCGAGGTGTTGCAGAGAGACTACATCACCTTGGAAGGCCGATGGGTGTTTAAAACACCTTCAATCCTGAAAAGCTCTCCGACCATGCTGTATTTGTCCAGAACTGTTTCGCCCATCCATGGAATCTCGGCTCACCCGCTCAGAAAAAGCTTTCTCGCTGCATACATCCCTCGCATGGTTCAAGGCGAACCAGCAAATTAAGCATGTCAATTTTCATGTTCCGTGTACCGAGGAGAGGACAAGGAGGACGACGATAACATAAAGAGTTGATGTAACCCGGTCTGGTCGTGCAAGATCGCGGTGCTTCTTTCCATGCACTGAACTTTTCAGGATTCAAAGACCTGTTGAAGATCATTCACAAGACGTTGGAGACGTTTCCCCCAACCGCGCAGGTCTCTCGCTTGCACTAACTGTGGCCAGTCGACTCCATCATGTGGACGCTGGTTCAGTGATTGTCGTTGGCTCTAGACTAGATTTTGAGGACTGGGGACTTCAATGCATGGTGCTTGGTAAGTGGTGTAAACGAGGACCCAGGCACACGAATTGTGACATATCTGCATCGTGTGCCAGATGCCAATCACAGTCTCACACAGAGAGTGTCGAGAGTTCCCCACACCCGAAACTCTTCCTACTTAATCCCTAAGCGCCGGCTTTCGGGCTACGGAAGTGCTGTAAGCCTGGAGAGGTGGCAGCCCAGCAAGGGCAGTACTTGGCCAAGGCCCCTCGGTTTCGCCCAGGGAGTCTCCGTTTCAGGTTTAGGGTTTTAGGGTCTAGGGTTTACGACTTGGCGACTTCAGGTGGAATCTGACAAACTCGCATAGTCGGCCCTCTATCAACCCAGTTTGTCACGTTGGGTGCGAGTCAGGTAGTCGCGCCAGGGCATGTTGTGATGCAAGCTGCGAAGCGAGGCTGTTGGCTTGCTGGATGCACAGCGGAAAAAGGCCCCACGTCCTGCAAAGCCTCACCGAGGTTTTCGCCTCTGGCCTCATTCATGGCGACCGGGAGCCTGCCGGTAATTGAGCAGGGAGCTTGAACCCCGAGCCGCCCTGATGTACGCACATTCTGAGGCCACTGCTAGTTCAAGGCCATCTGCTCCCATACCCAGCGACTGAAATCCTTGTCTCCATGACGTGCAGCAGAGTGCGCTAGCCCGGATATGTTTCCACAACACCCTACCCCCAAACCTTGATTGTAAGAGAGATCTGCCAGAATTGAGAAGTCTGAAGATGCATCACTTCCCTGCTAAAGGTATCCAGCGTGCTTCCTCCCTGCACCTCTATGTAAGCTTCCTCTCCCGATCGACTTGCCGATGGAGGAGAGCTACCGTGCCTTCCGCGATGAGCACGAGCCCTTCACCTACTTCCACAAAGGTGGTCAAGCCTTCGTGTCCAGGGTTTCGTAGGTTTCGGCAGATGGCGTTACGCCAGAAGGTTCACATCAACAGAGTATGTGCAGCTGACACGAGTTTAGGTTTAAGGAGTTATCTTGAAGGGCTTGAGCTCATGTCAGGCTGATGTTGGGCTGGTCCGCGTCCACTTCTTTCTTCGAGGGTATGTAGGCATGAAATCGTGCTTGAAGTTCGCGTGCCTCCTCCAAGAACAGTCTTCCTGTAGTCAGCACTCCGAGCAACCCTAGGATTGTCATGTTGGCGGTGTAACTACGTCGATGCTGGCAGTGCACCCACCCTTCGCAGACAAAGCAAGCTTTTGATGACCTTGCAGCGGACGGGGCCGAACGCATGGGGCATGTTGGACTAGGTGACAAGTCAGACCTGACAATGCAGATTCTCGTGTTTTGCCTTGAACGTGACACAACAAGCCCCAGAAGCACCAGCCTTAACAGTCGACTTCAGCTTATAGCCGGCTACTTAAGTGGCGCAGGCACTTTGGCCTATTTGGGTAGCGACCATGCGGCTTTTGCAGTCGCCCCAGCCTGCTGCTTGTAAAGTTATAGGGCGAAGATTTCGAATGGATCAAAGCAGTACAGCATAACTGTTCTTGCAATTTCCTCCCCGAAGCACGCTGTTTCATTCAAACCCCCTGTCTGGGTTTGCCTTCGGGCTTGGTGGGTACCCGGGTAAGGTTGCAGAGTGCTACTTCACTCATGAGTCCGGACTTTCTGATTGAGGCTGCCTGTAGTCCTGGGCTAGATGGTGCAGATCCTGACCTGAGACTTCTGCAACCCTCAACCGCATTGAAACCTAAGCTCTCCAGCTCACGATGGGACGCCCCCTCTTTTCAAATTGCCATGCATGAGGACTTGCCAATTCTTGGCCCGGTGAGTGGGCCCTTGGCCGGCGTGGCGTGGAAGGCGCCCAAAATCTAAAGCCCAAGGGTCTAAGGGATCCTAAGAATCCTAAGAACGTCCGAAAGCCTCCTTATCACACACGCTTGTAGGAGTAGTGAATCGTTGTCGTGGCCGTGGTGGCTGTGGTAGTGCCAGGGCTGGTAGGGTAGGGGTAGTGTTAGCGGCGGTAGTGAGTAGTAGCGTAGTAGTAGTAGTAGTAGTAGTAGTAGGAGTAGTAGGAGTAGTAGGAGTAGTAGGAGTAGTAGGAGCAGTAGCAGTAGCAGTCTTAGTAGCAGCAGCAGCGCAGTAGTAGTTTCTGCGTGCTGTTGTTGGTAGTCGTTGTTGCTGCTGCCGTTGATGTTGCTGCCGCTGGTTCTGATGCTCGCGCTCTCGCTCTGGCTCTTGTTTTCGCTGCTATTGTTGCTCTTGTTGTTGTTGCTGGTGTTACTGCCGTTGTTGTGATTGTGGTTGTTGTTGTCGTTATTGTTGCTGTTGTTGCTGGTGTTGTTGATGTTGCTGCCGTTGGTGCTGCTGCTCTCACTCTCGATATTGCCCTTGTTTTTCGCTGTTGATGATGCTGCTGTGGCTGTTGTTGTTGTTGTTGCTGCTGCTGCTGTTGCGGTTGTCGATGCTGTTGCTGCTGTTGCGGTTGTCGATGCTGTTGCTGCTGGTGCTGTTGTTGGTGGTTGTTGGTGGTGGTTGTTGTTGATGCTGTTGCTGTTGCTGCTGTTGCTGTCATTATTGCTATTGATGCTGTTGATGTTGCTGCCACAGGTGCTGCTACTTTCGCTCTCGCTCTCGCTCTCGCTCGTTCGTTCGCTGTTCGTGCTGCTGATGTTCCTGTTGTTCTGGTTGTTGTGGCGTCGTTTTTTTTTTTTTTGTTGTTGTTGTTGCTGCTGTTGTTGATGTCGCTGCCGCTGGTGCTGCTGCTCTGGCTCTGGCTCTGGCTCTGGCTCTTGTTCTTGCTTTCGCTGCTGGTTTTGCTGTGGTTGTTGTTGTTGTTGTCGTTGTTGCTGTTGATGCTGATGTGGTTGCCAATTGTCGTTGCCACGGGCAACAATACATTAGTTCGACTAGTAACAACGGTACCACTTGCACATTGTTCCTATGCGCATAAACTTGATTCCGTTCTAATTACTAGCCAACCATGTTCACAGCCGAAGCGAGTCTCACCAATGAATCCCCCGGATTCTACATTAATAGCTTCAATGCGCCATCAGTACGTGGCAGCACAGCATGCAAGCGACACGACGCCGCTAACCACAGCTCACTCACGCAAAAAAAAGAACTCGGTTTGATCTGGAGTGCCCTCAACCCTAAAGGCCCTAAAGCCCTCTGCTCTGGCTAAAGAAAGTGCGCTGTTGCACTGCTCCAAAAACTCATGCCTTGTGGTGTTTATAAGCCCCATAAGCAAGCAGAAATATGCTATACTGGGCAAGCAGCCATCTTACAAATCCTGCAGACGAAGACATACAAGGTAGCAGGATCATCTGTTGCCACTGCTGTGAGTGATGGATGCTAGACCCCATGACTTCCCAATGACGCACGAGAGGTGCGATGTCGAGAAGCACTCCAACGTGTCAAGCACCCCGGCGCCGCCCGCAGAGGATCAACGCGCATTTGCGCTGAGGATGTCATACAAAGAACAGCACACCGTCAGAGTCTACGTCCCCATACAGTACTTCTGTATACACCCGTTAATGATACACGTACATACAGATATATACTACATTTATACACATGGACCTATATGGTGTAGTGTCATAGCATCTGTATTGGGACATCTTTGGGGCCATCGACCCGTAGGAGAATGAAAGACACAGCTCTTCAGGTCCAGTTGGCGCGGGATTTCGATATTTAGGGTTTAGGGGTTTAGGGTTTAGCGTTTAGGGGTTTAGGGTTTAGGGTTTAGGGAAAGACTGTGATCTGGATGAACTCCATATGTAGTTCAGGGCACCCTGAATCATAAAGAAGTTTTGGGAGCTTCCTGGGTCCAGCGCTCATCGTTTCTGTCTACCATCTACTGTACAAGCTTCCCCTAACCCCCCAGGTGCCTACTATATAGGGTACTAAAGCCCCTAGGGCCCTATATAGTAGGTACCTGGGAGGTTAGGGTTCAGCCATCTACAGCCTACAGATGAGGCTTCCCAAATCATCCACCTCTCCTCCAGCAACAGTTTGGTCAGCTACCGATGACTCGTGCTCCTAAGCCGACTTGATAAATGTGTCTGAAGTATGCTACAAAGTAACATGCTCAAATCCGGTGAAGGACGTATGTGTGGCCGAAGGTTAGAACATGGCACACCACAACCCCAAGCCACCGACTGCACCTCCGAACATCCTAACTGTGCGGAGAAGGAACCCACCAATCCGAGCCCCCGTGCTTGCAGCCTTTGTAGCTTTCTAGAGCTTTAGGGCTGGGATTTGGGATTCGGGGGCTCGGTGGGTAAACGCGTGGTCCTCCCCCATCTGGCCAGATTCCCAACTAGCCAGACCAACATGCTGTGTAACTCTTACACCAAGCGTGCAAGAAGCCTGGGCCTTGTCTATAGATTGCCTGTCAAACGTGCGCGCACAATGCAGTTTGATGGTAGCCTGCTGCTACTGCTACTGCTGCTACAGCTGCTGCTAGCTCCTACTCCTACTCCTACTCCTACTCCTACTCCTACTCCTCCTACTACTAGTACTACTACTGTGCTAGTACTAGTACTAGTACCAGTACCAGTACCAGTACCAGTACCAGTGCTACTACTACTACTACTACTACTACTACTCCTACTCCTACTCCTACTCCTACTCCTACTCCTACTCCTACTCCCACTCCCACTCCTACTCCTACTCCACTCCCAC